CTATTCCTGTCTTCTGAGCTGCTCCTGCTTTTGCCCATAAGACTTGCACATATGTTGGAAACCTATGGGGAATTACCTTACGAGAGTATTCATCACACAGTTCCTCACTGTATATGCTTTTGACAATATTTCCCATGAATATAGCACTCATTAAACGGATTTTGAAGGGCTGGAACCAAATCCATTTAATTTACTTCAACAACATTTATTTCACATTACTGTCAGTAGTCTACTATGCATCCAGATGAGGATAACCTGATTTATTCACCTCTGCTATGCCCATGTAGGTCTCAGTTTCTTCAATCAGGTGAAGACACCCCAATACCCATTGGGGTCTACCTTAGAAAGACATGGCTCCTCCATAAGTTTCTGTACTGACATTTTGATAGTAATAAGTGACTAAACGGAAAAACTTATGATAACATTAAGGGATTTTGTATTTCTTTTTCTTCTTTTTTTTAGAAACAAGGTCTTGCTATATTGCATAGGCTAAAGTGCAATGGTTATTCACTGGAATGATTATTTGCCGTACAGCCCTGAACTCCCGGGCTAAGGAATCCTCCTGCCTCACACTCCCGAGGAGCTGGAATTAGGGATTTTGTATTCCTTACCAAACAAGGCAGAGTGTGGAGGTAGTGGAATCACGGCTCATGAGAACAAAGGGACTGACAGTTGGAAAACATACAGAAATGAGGGCAGCAGAATTCACCAGCCACCAACTGGGATTATCAACTAGAGCAATACAAGCATAAATAATGGAGGAGAGGGTGTGAAAACACACAAAGGTGGTCACCAGGACAAGGATGCTCTGGGTGGCTCTAGACTCAGGGGAGGCTCTGGAGGAAACATGAGTCCTGTGAATGTGCTGGACCCGCTTCTTGTGCCTGTACAGGACGCAAATAATGGAGCCACTGGACAAGACTGTGAGCACAGAAAATAAAACTTCAGGGCATACAGATAATGCTACATACAGTGAATCTGTAACTATGTCTTGACCTTGAGTAGAACAGTATTCAAAATCTCTTCTCTTTGTGATGTTTTTGTTGCTATATGTGACAACTGCATACACAGGAAAAATGAAATTTATCACCAGGTATAGGATCCAGCAGAAGGGAATGGAATGGCTAATGTACTTTGTGACTTTTACTTTAAAATATTTCCACCTGGAGTTAATGGGGCTGATCATGATGGCCTGGAAGACACTCAGGAGGCAGCTGGTTCCAATGGACACTCCCCTGCCCACTCTCTCAACATACAGAATAAATTTGCATTCAAAATCACTGAAGAAATGTTTCAGTCCAAAAGCTGTCATTGCCTGGGGAAGTCCTTTAGAGAGAATGAACAGGGAGTTTGCCATAGTCAGGTGCTTGAGAATCACATCTGTCAACCTCAATCTGCATCCAGTGTGGGAAAGGAAGAGATAATGGTAAAGAAGAGAGAAATTTCCCAGGATTCCAACTGTAGACTGGGCTAAGAAGATTATTCCAATTGCCACATGCCTGGAGGATATTCTGTCATTCAGCAAATTTTGCTTTAAATTATTACAACAATCATTCCTATGAGCAAATAGCATCCTTAAAGGTTGTTTTTTTTTTTGACGTCAAGAGTAGCTTTCATTGTGTGCACCTGTGGGATTGCAAAAGGCATCAAGAGGCACAAATAGAGATGGAGGGAATTGCCAGGATATCTCATGGGAGTCAGCACTAAGGAGGAGGTGGTGTTAACCTGGGTGAGACATGGAGAAGTGACAACAAATGGAAACAAAAATTAATTCAGCATTTTCAGAATAAGCTGATTTTGCTAGTCATATGGGTAAAAAGAGACAACCTCAATTACTACCCAAACCATACAACAAATCAGTTCTAAAGCATCACTGACCTAAATTTTAGAAAGAAGTAATGCAGTTTTTTTTAGCATAACAAGAATATTGCTGCAGCTTGATAATAAGATACTGTTCCTTAAACGGCACAAAACATACTAACTATATAGCTGAAATGAAAAATTAGATCATATTTAAGAGCTGGCTCTCATCAAAAGACACACACATACATGCAGACACACAGACACACACAGACGGATAGAGAGGGATAACTGTAGAGCAAAGGACATTTAAAGATCACATAAAATATCCCAACAGAAACTTGAAAAAGTAGATCTTATTCAATGAATCAAAAATATGGGAATAATGTTTAATGTCCTTAGTAAACATGAAAATTCAAATAACATCACTACATGGTATTATTGTATACCAACCAGAAATCTAAAATAAAAGTGACAGTAAATACTAAGTTTTCTCAAGGATGTGGGTAAACCAGGAATTGCATACACTGCTGATCGGTGTTAAAACTGGAACATTCTGGAAAACTGGTGCTATTTACTTAAGCTAGACATATATGAGCCTATATACCAACAATTCCACTCTTATGAATCTATCGCAACAAAATTTCTATGTGTATCACCAAAAGACAAATTTCATAATTTATATAGCGGCACTAGTCATAATGGCCTCAAACTGAAAACCACCCACATATCCATTAGCATTAGAATGACTTCATTAATTGTTTGATGGTCACACAATGGAATCCAATACAGCAATGCTAACAAATGCCAAGAATATATTCACAAAAATCATATGGAATAGAAAAAGGGCAAATATAAAATAGTTCTTGCTGTATGTTTTCATTTATATAATGTACAAAACAGGCAAACCTCATCTAATGTCTCAAATATTAGAATAGATGTAAACCTCT